GAAGCGGAGCTTTAGCGAGGCCTCGCCGATTGATAAGAAAAAGACTGTTAAACAAACCTGCCTGGCCTTTCTTCCAATCCCTTCTAGGGACCTTTCAAAGAAGTTTCAGTTAAAGATACAGTAAGCGTTGCAGTAAGCCAAGAAGTCAGTCCCAGTAGATAGAGTCAGGGAAGGGTATGGGTAAGGCAAGTTAAAACCATTGAGTCATTCCCCCGCCTTGTATCTGTAAGCCATTGAGTCTAGCTCCTAGAGAACGGGTCAGAAGGAAAAAAAAGTAAGAAGTAGTGTCAATCGGCGGCTTTCCCTCCGGCGTTAAAGACGAAGCGCAGAAATTATTTGATTCGTTCGAGCGACGACCACTAACGAAGAGCCGCTTTCAGTTAGTAACCGGGGTAAATCACATCACATTTAAGGCTTCTTACACGTATTGTATGTGCCGCTATTAAAGAATAAGCATGTATACTACGAGATTAGGATTAGGAAGAAAAACCTTGCTTTTGGCAGATTGCTTACTACTAGACTAGGTTGGATCTACTTCTCAGTCTCATCTATAGAGAATAGGAGAAGCATTCGAGTTCTCGCTTTTCTGCCCTAGCAATCTCGCGTGAGTGAAGAAATCGTAACCTATATATACTACCGATATCTCTCGTCAAACTTCAACGGGAATCGATTCTATGATTTACTTAGATTTAGATTCCCTGACCCGCTCTGAAAGAACTCTCCTTTTTGGATGTATACTATGGGTTCGACTTGGCAACTATCGGAAATCCGCTCCAGATTATTCTATCGAACAAGGGCAAGGATCGTCTTTAGGGCCCGCGATAAAGAAGAAAGAGGTTTAAAAGTGAATTGCTACTTGATTACCACCTCGTCTATGAAATCTAATTTTTTCTCTGTGTGGCTACAGTAAGAAAGAATTCCTATGCGTCCGCAGCTAATGAATCTGATGGATGCCATTTCTTCTGTTCTGTTGTAATGATAGCGAAAGGCTTTAAACGAATCCCTGACTTAAAGGGAATGGGAATAAACAACTGGCTTTCTTCTCCTAGTGCAATCAGTTCTGGCACAAGACAATCCTGATTCAATTCCCGAAAACCTGACACCAGCTGTTTCTTCTGGGCATGTCCCTGAGACTGAGATGAGTGCCAGACTTCCTTCCTGAACTAGATTAAAGACGCGTTCTAGTGGCCTAAGCTCCAACCAAGTTAGGGACCCCTACCACCGGCTGAAAGTGCCCCGGGCTAGGTGTGTATGATAAGTAAGTAATGCCGAGTTTCAAGTGGATACAGCTCTTTGCCATTAGAGCACTCTTGTGGAAGAGATTGTTGGAGAATGTAAGGTCGTAGAAGATACAACTGATCTTATATTGATATTGATCTTTTACGAATGGATCCCGGTTGTTCTAGTAGGTGCGTACTTTTTGTTTTTTTTTATTGTTCTTGTTCCTTTCATTTTTATTATCGGGTGTCTTGAACAGTTCACACTCCTTCAATGGAAGAAGAAGGCGATGCAGCGCGCTTAGCTACTGCCTATAAGCAACCATAAGCTTTGACTTAGATAATTTGAAGCTCGAAGTAATATCTTTTCGGAAGGGGATCGAGCAGCTTCTAGAAACTATACGAGAAAGCAAAGTGAAATCTCTACTATTACTTGGAAACCACTTTCTATAAGATTTATCTTCTCTTCTTTAATAAGGCTGATTTCCGCATCTATCCTAGCAGCAACAGAAAGGAAGTGAAGAAAGAAAAACTGACTGGACCATCGGGAAAGGGTGATCGATCATAAGGAAGGCCTACGTCTTCATCTCTTGCTTCCAAGTGAGAGTCAGGAGGAAGAAAAAGACCAAGCAAGGGTTAAGATTCGTTCTCACGGAGAATTAGGGAGAAGAAAGAAGACCGTAGGACTCTGAAGTCAGGGATATGAGGCTCGGTCTACAGGCCTTACGTCAAAGCCCGGGAACAGATGGGAAGTGCACCAACGCTCGGATATGAATTGGAACCCCCTCCGAAATTCGGTTAATACTAAAATATATTCCCAATCCCATTCAAAAATCTACGCTACGGGTCAGGGACGCTAACCATATGAGGAGCCCTACTACTAGGACTTGTTCAAGCAACAAGTTGGTATGGCCCATTTCATACCTAATCCCATGGACATATCTGATCATTGAATGAGGGCCCTCCACAGGGATAGATACCCGAGTTAGGTATCAGTCCCACCTACCGATCATTAGTACAATGACCTGTCATATCATATACCCCAGACGGCCTAATCAGATGTTTCGGTACCAATGCAGTCAGTCTAATGCATTCTGGACTGGATATGGCCCACCTATCTTTCGAGGTCACTAGTTTACACTTTGACCAACCTTTCCCATATCCGTTTTTTATGAGCAAGGAATAAAGGCCAGACAGTAATCAAGCTACTTACAATTGGATAGTACCCCTTCCATCGGAGGATATATATATATATATATATATATATATATATATATATATAT